CACCCCTCCCAAGCACATACAGCGTCCTTGCTCCCCGGCTGTGGCTGCAGGCCCACCAGCCCGACTTCCCACCTCCGGACTGCTGGCTGCTGGTGACTGTGTCTCAGAAGCCAGCTCGGGCCAGGGGAGGTGGAGGAAGGCAGGAGGGTTCTTGTGTCTGATTATTTCCCCTTCCCCAGATGCCAAAGGGTCAATCCGAGAGATCATCCTGCCCAAGGGCCTGGACCTGGATCGGCCCAAGAGGACGCGCACTTCCTTCACTGCAGAGCAGCTCTACCGGCTGGAGATGGAGTTCCAGCGCTGCCAGTACGTGGTGGGCCGGGAGAGAACCGAGCTCGCTCGGCAGCTCAACCTCTCGGAGACCCAGGTACTCAGCGGCCAGGCTGCACACAGCTCAGCATCAGCCTCCTTCCCCTTCACCCCCAGCCAGCTCTTCCTCACCACCTAGCTTGACTCTGGATAGAGCTTCCCAGGTGAGGCAGAGAAGATAAGGAGGATGGGGAAGAAAGGGCGAAGGCTTTCTCCCTTTCCTGAGCCATCCCTTTCCCCCTCCACCCCAAATCTTCCTGACCTCTAGCCCAGGAGGCCCCAAATCCTATCCTTTTGGATTTCTTTCTGGACCCCAGTCTTGAGAATCCTCTGCTTGTCTCTGCTCTTGGAGGAACCGATGTTTGCCCCTGTTTGGGCCACAACATTTTGGCCAGACTTCCAGGCACACCCCCTCTGGAGATCCCTAGCCTTACACAGCACCCAGGCCCATTCAGCAAGAATGGGGCTAAGGCCAAAGCCCCCTGTTCCAGAGCGTGGGTGACAACTAGGGATCAAAAAGTTGCATATTCCAGAGATCTGCCTTTGCAGACCAGGCTGCCCCAATGCTTAAGGCTTTCCCTGGTCTTGAGCTGGACTCAGCCCCATTCCCAGCCCTGAGCACCCACTGTGGGCACCTAGGAGACCCTGTCTTAAGTGCCAGTGATGTGTGAGGTATGGGATGGGAAGCAGATCTGGGGCCTTGGGAGCCAGCACTGACAATCGTGCTTGAGGTCTTCTCCTTTACATGAAATCCATATGATGCTACTGGAGCTGGCTGTGTGAACTCTGGGCCCAGGAGCACTTTACGGCCTGAGAGGTTTGTGTTGTGGGGATCATTTAGGGCCTCCCCAGGGCATGGTACCAGCTTGGCCTACGTAAGGCATATTTCTTTCTGAGGACCAGTCCCTTGACCTGTGCACAGCCCTGAAGTGGGTGGGGAGCATTTTAGGTATGGGATCTGGGCAGAAAGCTGAGAACCAAGGACAGAACATACTGGATGTTCGAATTTGAGTTGGCATGGTAGCTTTTTCCCTATTCTCTCTGCCACCGTCCCTCTTAGTTTACGAAACCTAGACAGAATAACCTTTCCCTAGAGGTGCCAAACTCCATTCTGGGCCACCAACTAGGCCTGAAGAGGGGCAAAGGGAGAACAGGAAGTAAGAGGGGAGGTTGACGGAGAGAATTTAGTCCACTCCAGCCTACTGACTTCCTCCCATGACTCCAAAGCTCATGATGGAGAGCAGCTGAGTTATAAATTAAGGGTATCACTCAGGCCTTTCGATCCACCTGGTGGTGAGGAGGTAGAGAAAGCTTGGCCTGTAAAGTTCATCCTGCACCAATTACTCAGTCTATAGCCTGCTTGCTGCTAGTTGATAGTCAATCTGACCCTAACAAGCAGGAAGTAGCCTCTTGCAGCCTTCAACAGGAGTAGTGCTCTGGGGCTAAATTCGAGCCCCTTGGGCCACTCTTCTCCCCATTCACCCTCACTTCCCACTTCCCGAACCGCATCCTTTAGGCCTTACACCTTCTCCTGGAAACGCGGGCTTTTCCGCAGCACTGATCCATAGTCCCGCTGCGGGTAGTGCGGCGGCCCAGTGAAATAGCTTCTGGTCTTCCTTCCAGTTAGGGTCGTGGACATTTTTATTTCTTTGTTATTTGTAACCCGGGCTGGCCTAGGCCTGCTTCCATGACCCGGAAGCGCAGCGTACGGGAGCTGTGTCCCCGTCTTGGCGCCCCGCCCACCCGCCCCGCAGCTCCCGGCCCAACTTCTTCGGGCTGGGACTGGGGCTTTGGCTGGAGTTGGGGGAGGGCCCCCTGGAGCCCTCGCGCTCCGGGAGCCCGCTCCCCTTGACGCCCGTCTCCCTCTGCCCCTCTCTCCCACCCTCCCTGCGCCCGGCGCGCAGGTGAAGGTCTGGTTCCAGAACCGGCGCACGAAGCAGAAGAAGGACCAAGGCAAGGACTCGGAGCTGCGCTCGGTGGTGTCGGAGACGGCGGCCACGTGCAGCGTGCTGCGGCTGCTGGAGCAGGGCCGCCTGCTGTCGCCGCCCGGCCTGCCTGCGCTGCTGCCGCCCTGCGCCACAGGCGCACTCGGCTCGGCGCTACGCGGGCCCAGCCTGCCGGCCCTGGGCGCGGGCTCTGCCGCGGGCTCGGCAGCCGCCGCCGCCGCCCCGGGTCCCGCAGGCGCCGCGTCCCCGCACCCGCCGGCCGTGGGAGGCGCTCCGGGCCCCGGGCCCACCGGGCCAGGGGGCCTGCACGCGGGCGCGCCGGCCGCCGGCCACGGCCTCTTCAGCCTGCCCGTGCCCTCGCTGCTCGGGTCCGTCGCCAGCCGCCTCTCCTCCACCCCGTTGACAATGGCCGGTTCGCTGGCCGGGAATTTGCAAGAACTCTCCGCCCGATACCTGAGCTCCTCGGCCTTCGAGCCTTACTCCCGGACCAACAATAAAGAAGGGGCCGAGAAAAAAGCGCTGGACTGATCTTAAGTGTTTTCCTGTATTTATATTTACAGTATCTATCGTGGTGATATTTATGGACTCACGCGCATTAGGCACCCGGGGCCCCTGCGCTGGGCTCCCGGCTCCCAAGAGGCCTCTGACAGCTCTCCTTCCCCACCAGGCTCTGCTACCAATATTACCCCATTTGGGCTATTTTTCCCCCTACTGTTCCTCTGTGTCCTCCCACACCCATCCTTCGCCCCCAACTTCCTTCTGAATCCAGGAGAATCCAAAGAATTGGGGGAAAAGCCCGAGTTAGCCAACCTGATGCCCCAACCAGTGCCTGGCCCTGGAGGGTAAAGTCTGGTTCTAAGTCCGGAGCACAGGACATCTGCTCTAGATCGAGCCACTGCTGCCGTTGATTATTCTTATGGATATCTGAAAAAGGAAGCTGCGAGCAGACCCCAGCTGAAAAGGCTGACAGATTTCATTAGACCGAAAAGGAGGACGTTCCTTCCTCTCGCCAGAGAAACCAGGGCTTTCAGAAGCCCCTGGGCCCCACTTTGCGGACTTCTCGAGAGAGCCGGTGCACACGCAGCTTCCTGGCTGGACAAATCCTGCCGAATTTTCTCCCCTTTAAAGAAACTCCAATCACAACCACCCCCCGACCCCAGGAGACAATAAACCAAACATCGTGATGGGCAGCGGCGGTAATAAATTTGATCTCATCAGCAATAAAAGGAGAGTAAGAACTACCACACAAAACCAAATGGAGTGGAACCAGTTTTTAAATACTCATAACGATGGAGTTTAGAAGGCGTAAGAAAACACAGGATACAAAATGCGTCCCAGGGCAATACAAAATTAAAGTTCTGGGTGTTATGACTTAAAACAAGAATTTAAAAGGGAAAAGCAAAAGAAAAGCCTATGCTGCTAAATGAAAGAAAATTCAGAATCTTTTCCGAGGCTGCGCCGGGAGGTGGCCGACAGCTTCACGCTCCTCCAGGAGAGAGAGCTGTGCAGCTGGCGGCAGCTCCCGGACGCTGGCGCTTCTCCCCACCGTCTCCCTTGTTCCCGGACCCTTGGCTCCGGGCAGAGTTGCAAGGTTTGGAAACAGATCAGTGCCCTTTGCCTCCTCTCACCCTCTGCCCGGATTCACAAAACCCTCCCAGCACGCAGGAAACGTCCCGATTTCAGAGTTCTTTGCGGAGGGGAAGCAGGGACGCAGCCGGGGACATCAGGGCGGCCCGGCCTCCTCTGTCGGTAGTCTCCATATCCCGATCAGTTCCCTGCGTGGATGTGAAAGGCATCCCTCTCCACCGCCTCCCCTAAAACACCCCCAGGGTTTCGACGGTCCCAAGTCAGAAACCCGGACCGCAACGCTGTCGCAGCCTCACGCCCTAACCGCACAGCCACGGCGACCCGCATTTTAACCAAAACCACAGACCCAGGCGGCGAGGTGCCGCAGTGTCTAGAATGTATTCCTCCATCCGAAGCGAGCGCAGAGCATTTTAAAAATAGTAATTTTATTGTAAATTATTTACATCGGAAGCTTTTTTTCCTTTTTCTTTTCTTTCTCTCTCTCTCTTTTTTTTCCTTAGGCAAATAGTGAAGAAAATAATGAACGATTCAAACGCGGGTAGGTGTCACTGAATCCTGGCTACTAACTTTGTTCTGAATGTTTTGGATATTTGGATGTTTTGTATTTATGTGGTGAGAGTGAAATATATATATCTATGATGATAAATGAGGTGTATTTTTGTCTTGTATTTGAAGGATTAAAAAAACAAAAAAGAAGAAGAAAGAAGAGCCAGCAAGTGATCAGTCTCCGAGTGGGGACTCCTGAGGCAGAGGGTGGCAGCCCCGGCAGTGCCGGGCCCTGCCACTGGTACCGAGAGCGCTTGGGATGAGGTTTGGGGAGGGTTTCGGTCTGGGAGACAGAGGCGCCTGCCGACAATGTTTGTTCTGCTTCCTTTCACTCTCTGGCTCTCTGTCCCAGCGGTGTCGGACCATCAGGCCCTCCCTCCTAGATCTTCCACTTGGTGTTTCTTGGTTTATTTAGGAATTTGTCTCCGGAAACCCTAGAGCTCCTGCCTAATAACGCCCCCAGCTTCTAGAGTTTTCCAGCCGCAGTCTCCACGCCGGCAGTATTTTGGATTTGTGCAATCACAGGGCCCAGAACAGGGAAGCTTTTCCTTTCTTCTGACTTATAATAAGTCTCTTCGCTGTCAAAGAGAAACTTTGAAGGAGCAAGAGAATAAAATAGCTATTAACTCCTGCAGAGACCTCTCCCCCCACCCCACCCCACCCCACCCCACCCCACCCCAGTACATACAACATACACAGTGGTGACGGATGCAGATTTTGCAAACAGAAATCTGGGGAAGCTAGGAGGGCTGGGGACGGTACTCCAGGGCGCGCTCTTCTAAAGCTGAGCGGCGGGCGCGGCAGCTCCAGTCCCCTCTTCGTGGCGCCTGAACCCCTGGGGGGCATGGGGGCTCACAGTTCTCTTGGAGACACCCGCACAGGCCAGGCCCTTCGGCCCCCCACGCGTGCACTGGGCCTAAACCGCGAGCTTGAGTCATCCGAAATGAGGCGGCGGCACGGTGTGCGCAGCGGAGTTCCTGAGCTGAGTGTGCGATGGGCCCTACCGAGTTTAGGACCCTTGCCGACGGCTCAGAGTTCTGAGAGATAAGAGCAGCCGCAAAGCCCAGACAGTTCATTTTTGTTTCTCAAAGTCGCTACACACCCC